AGTCGACTCCACGCATCAGGACTGCCTCCACCAAGAAAGAAAGAAGGGTGATTGTCGTGGGAGACTCTGTCCTTAGGGGGACAGAGGGCCCTATTTGTCGGCCTGACCCTACCCGTAGGGAAGTCTGCTGCCTCCCTGGGGCCAGGGTCAGGGACGTGGCCAGGAAGCTCCCCAACCTGGTGCGCCCCTCTGATTATTATCCGCTCCTGATAATCCAGGCGGGCACTGATGACATTGACAACAGAAGCCTGAAGGCTATCAAAAGAGACTTTAGGGGACTGGGACGGTTAGTGGACGGAGCAGGAGTGCAAGTAGTTTTTTCGTCCGTCCCTACGTTGACAGGGAGGGGTACGGAGAGGACAAGGAAAGCCCACCTGTTAAACACGTGGCTCCGGGGCTGGTGCCTACGCAGAAATCTTGGGTTTTTCGACCATGGGGCAGTTTACTCAGCACCTGGTCTGGTGGCCGTAGACGGGTCCCTATCCTTTAGGGGAAAAAGGATCCTGGGCCAGGAGCTGGCGGGGCTCATTGATAGGGCTTTAAACTAGGTAAGAAGGGGGATGGGGCTGGAGCGAGGACTGTTGGGGCTGTACCAGGGGGAGCAGTGGCAAGGCCGGAGGATAAGGTAAAGGCCCAGCTGAAGTGCATCTACACCAATGCACGCAGCATGGGTAACAAACAGGAGGAGCTGGAAGCCATCGTGCAGCGGGCAGGCTACGACTTGGTTGCCATCACGGAAACGTGGTGGGACCAGTCTCATGACTGGAGTGCTGCGATGCCTGGCTATAGGCTCTTCAGAAGGGACAGGCAGCACAGAAGGGGTGGCGGTGTGGCTCTCTATATTAGAGAGTCTTTCGATGTTGTAGAACTCGAGGCTAGGAATGACAAGATCGAGTCCCTTTGGGTTAGGATCAGCAGGGACAACAAGGCTAGTGTCCTGGTCGGGGTCTGCTATAGACCGCCGAACCAGGATGAGGAGACGGATGAGGAGTTCTACAGGCAGCTGACAGAAGTTGCGAAATCGTCAGCGCTTGTACTCGTGGGGGACTTCAACTTCCCTGACATATCCTGGAAGCACAACACAGCCCAGAGGAAGCAGTCTAGGAGGTTTCTGGAGAAAGTGGAAGATAGCTTCCTGACGCAGCTGATTAGTGAACCTACCAGGGGTGGTGCCCTGCTAGACCTTCTCTTCACAAACAGAGAAGGACTGGTGGAGGATGTGATTGTCGGGAACAGTCTTGGGCAGAGTGACCACGAAATGGTGGAGTTCTCTATTCTTGGCGGGGCCAGGAAGGGAACCAGTAAAACCACTGTATTGGACTTTCGGAGGGCTGACTTTAGGCTGCTCAGGACACTGGTTGGTGGAGTCCCATGGGAGGCGGTTCTGAAGGGCAGAGGGGTTCAGGAAGGCTGGGTGCTATTCAAGAGGCAAATCCTAATGGCACAGGAGCGGTCTATCCCCATGTGCCCAAAGATGAGCCACCGGGGAAGACGACCAGCCTGGCTCAACAGAGAATTGTGGCTTGAGCTTAGGAGGAAAAAGAGGGTTTATAATCTTTGGAAAATTGGGCAGGCCACTAGGGAGGACTATAAGGATGTAGCGAGGCTGTGCAGGGACAAAATTAGGAAGGCCAAAGCTCATCTGGAGCTCAATCTGGCTACTGCCGTTAAAGATAACAAAAAACGCTTTTATAAATACATCAACACAAAAAGGAGGACTAGGGAGAATCTCCATCCTTTACTGGATGCGGGGGGAAACTTAGTTACAAGAGATGAGGAAAAGGCGGAGGTGCTCAATGCCTTCTTTGCCTCAGTCTTTAGTGGTAAAACCGGTTGCTCTCTGGATACCCAGTACCCAGAACTGGTGGAAGGGGACGGGGAGCAGGATGTGGCCCTCACCATCCACGAAGAACTGGTTGGTGACCTGCTACGGCACTTGGATGTGCACAAGTCGATGGGGCCAGATGGGATCCACCCAAGAGTACTGAGAGAACTGGCAGAGGAGCTGGCCAAGCCCCTATCCATCATTTATCAGCAGTCCTGGCTATCGGGGGAGGTCCCAGCTGACTGGCGGCTAGCAAACGTGACGCCCATCTACAAGAAGGGCCGGAGGGCAGACCCGGGGAACTACAGGCCGGTCAGTTTGACCTCAGTGCCAGGGAAGCTCATGGAGCAGATCCTCTTGGGAGTCATCACGCGGCACTTGAAGGGCAAGCAGGCGATCAGGCCCAGTCAGCATGGGTTTATGGAAGGCAGATCCTGCTTGACGAACCTGATCTCCTTCTACGACAAAGTGACGCGCTGGGTGGACGAGGGAAAGGCTGTGGATGTGGTCTACCTTGACTTCAGCAAGGCTTTTGACACCGTCTCCCACAGCATTCTCCTCAAGAAACTGGCTGCTCTTGGCTTGGACTGGCGCACGCTTCGTTGGGTTAGAAACTGGCTGGATAGCCGGGCCCAGAGAGTTGTGGTAAATGGAGCCAAGTCCAGTTGGAGGCCAGTCACTAGTGGCGTCCCCCAGGGCTCGGTGCTGGGGCCGGTCCTCTTTAACATCTTCATCAATGATCTGGATGAGGGCATTGAGTGCACCCTCAGTAAGTTTGCAGATGACACCAAGCTAGGTGCGTGTGTCGATCTGCTCGAGGGTAGGAAGGCTCTGCAGGAGGATCTGGATAGGCTGCACCGATGGGCTGAGGTCAACTGTATGAAGTTTAACAAGGCCAAGTGCCGGGTCCTGCACCTGGGGCGCAATAACCCCAAGAAGAGCCACAGGCTGGGAGAGGAATGGCTGGAGAGCTGCCAGGCAGAGAAGGACCTGGGAGTGATGGTGGACAGTCGGCTGAATATGAGCCAGCAGTGTGCTCAGGTGGCCAAGAAGGCCAACGGCATCCTGGCTTGTATCAGAAACACTGTGACCAGCAGGGCTAGGGAGGTGATCGTCCCCCTGTACTCGGCTCTGGTGAGGCCGCACCTCGAGTACTGTGTTCAGTTCTGGGCCCCTCGCTACAAGAAGGACATCGAGGTGCTTGAGCGGGTCCAAAGAAGGGCGACGAAGCTGGTGAGGGGCCTGGAGAGCAAGTCCTATGAGGAGCGGCTGAAGGAGCTGGGCTTGTTCAGCCTAGAGAAAAGGAGGCTCAGGGGTGACCTTATCACTCTGTATAAGTATATTAAAGGAGGCTCTAGCGAGATGGGGGTTGGCCTGTTCTCCCATGTGCCTGGTGACAGGACGAGGGGGAATGGGCTAAAGTTGCGCCAGGGGAGTTTTAGGTTAGATGTTAGGAAGAATTTCTTTACTGAAAGGGTTGTTAGACATTGGAACAGGCTGCCCAGGGAGGTGGTTGAGTCACCATCCCTGGAAGTCTTCAAAAGACGTTTAGATGTAGAACTTAGGGATATGGTTTAGTGGGGACTGTTAGTGTTAGGTCAGAGGTTGGACTCGATGATCTTGAGGTCTCTTCCAACCTAGAGATTCTGTGATTCTGTGATTCTGTGATCTAAGGTTAGCTGTGTGCTGTGTGTTGCACAGTTTAAGCTGTAAGGCTCTGATCCACATGGACATAGATAAAGGTGGTTCTCTGCCCTCTTTGTAAAGCCTTATCCAAGGCTGTTGCAATATCAAAGAATCTAGAATGGCTTGGGTTGGAAGGGACCTTAAAGATCATCTAACTCCAACCCCCCTGCCCTAGGCAGGGACACCACCACTAGATCAGCTTGGCCAAGTCCCCATCCAACCTGGCCTTGAACATCTCCAGGGATGGGGCACCCACAGCCTCTCTGAGCAACACATGCCAGTGCCTCAGCACCCTTACAGTGCAAAATTTCCTCCTCAAGTCTAATCTAAATCTATCCTCTTTTAGTTTAAGACCATTCCGCAATATTCTTCAAATATTCCCCGATATTCCCCATTATTGGTATTTGCACCCTGGTGAAGTTTCTGCCTTGTGCTGGGTCTTGGATCATGGAAATGGTCCCATGTTCTCCGTGGGATGACTCTCAGGGGCACGATTTACCCACAGGAGCAGGAGATGTGGTGCAAATATAAATGCATGCACGACCGGGGTGCTGCTCTAGGCCTTAAGAAACAGGGCTTTGCTCCCGACCCCCAAGGTAATTAATTGCTATTTCTGCTCTTTGTTATGCTGATTTGAAGAGATCAATGAATTTCATCTCCAATGCCTCGGAGCTCCTTTCTCCCTGCACTTTCTGCCACTCTTGTCCACTCAGATTGGACCAAAATGTCCTTTGCTACTCGTCTGCAGCAGGGCTCAACACAGTGGGGCTCTTCTCTCAGCAAGGGACTCTTGCAATATAAATAAAATAGCACAGATAAATGATTGCTTTACCACTGGGCTTGTTCAACGGCTGAAACTTAAATGAAACAACCCACAAATTCATGCAGAGGCGCATGTAAAACAGCAAGTTGGGAAGAGCAAAGCTGGAGCTCTTCCCTCGCTAATTCCAGCAGCTGGTTTGCATTGGTAAAGACAGACTAAAACCCGAGGAAGGAGCCTGGGATGTGACATCCCTGCACGATTAGGTCTTAGGGAGATGAGGCTATAGCTAGGGGAAAGGAAAAAACGGGGAATAAGCAGGGCTCTGAGTCACTGTTGCTCTAGATTATTGCTGCCGGTTGCTCAGGCACGCTCCGTATGATTACCATTTCCAAGTGAGCCTGGATCTGTATTTCCCTTAATGTGCCACGGCTGCTTCTCCTGACCTCTTTCACGCCGCCTATTACCTCAGCTCCGCTTCCCCTCCTTTCTGATCGAATTACTAAAGCACACAGTGGAGTCTCTTGGCTCAACAAAATTTAATGACGGTGACAACAGAGGAGGATAATAAAGATAAATCAGCTGCTCCCAGGAAGGGAAGATGAAGTAACAGCAGAGTGAGTTAGAAGGCTACACCATGGAGTGACCCTGGCAAGTGCATCGTCCCAGTCATCCCTTTCATCTCAATGTCTGTGTTTCTTCTTCTTTTCAGGGGATTTGACAGGGAAGAGTAGAGAGGAGCAGGGACCGAGACACTAGAGACCTGGGCCATGTTTCTGCCTCAGGCACACGCTCGCTGGGGATCGTGGGCACATCTCTCCAGCTCTTCTACATCTCCTCCCCCAGGCTGTAGGCTGGGAACAGAGCAGAAGTCTTTCACCGGGCAGGCTGTAAAGGACTTCAGCTGTGGGGTTTTGATCTCAGCTGCAGCCCTGTGCACTAATGTGAGCCACACAGTTAGTAGAGGGAAATGGAAGCTTTGCTGTTTGTAAAGGAGCACCAGCGAGAGCATCTTCTTTCTTGATGTCTATAAATCCCTGGGCTCCTCCAATCATGCTAATCCATCTTTTTTCAATTAGCCATTCTCGTGGAGGCCAATGGAGGCAGGCTTATGTCTGTGTTTAACTAGGGAACCGTGCATGGCAGGAGAGCTGTGAGAGGATAAGGGTTACAACTTGCCTTCCTCAACAGCCAAGGGTGGATGAGGGATCTGGAGCATCAGTGAACTGCACTCAGAGTGTGGGAGGCACAAGAGGGATCTGTCCTTCCAGGCATGTCAGGGGAGAAGAGGTAGTAATCAAACTGGATCCGAGCTTTACACCTCACCCAGAGCTCCTCAAATGGACAAACCAGCTCCTGGGTCTGCAATACCCATGCCTACTTCTTCCACCTCCCTCCTGGAGACAAGCAGAGACACGGCCTCAGATGACTGTGCCTATTGCAATTGCTTTCCTGACATTTGCCATGTTTCCAGTTGTAGAGCATTTGCTGTTTAATGATAATGCCTAGAAAAAAACAAACAAACACCCTTCTAATTGCAATCACATTCCTCGCCTCTCCCCTCCCACCAGGTTGTTAAATGTTTGCTGCATTGATCTCAACAGCTGAGCACGAAACAGTGAGCTGTAGTTGAGACCTCCTGCGAGCTCGATAAACTTAATGGACATCCTCGAGAACTTTAACTGGGAAGATTTAGCTCCCGAGGAAGAAGGAAGCAAACACCCGGAGCAGCTTTGTCTGCCTGTTGTACCTCATTTTGCCAGAAACAGCTGCTCACGCTGGGATTAGCTCAGAGGCTTGTACCGAGCAGAGGCTGACTCACAAGAACAAAATCAGGAGATCATTACATCTCCGTGCAGGCTCCAAGTGCTTCGGGCTGCACGGGGAGAGAGGAAAATTAAGCGGAGTCAGAGCCCAATTTGCAGAAATGCTGTGAAACTTTTGTGTGTGACAGATGAGTGGGAGAAGGGAGAGCCTCAGCTCTGCAGGATGAGTGCTGCAGGTCTTGGGATGGAGCTCCAGGCTGCAGGAGATAGATGGTGGCTGAGAGCACAGAGGTAGCTTGTCATAACATCTGTCTCGCTGTTGTGCCTTCCCTTAATAGAGACAGTTTGATTAGGGTTCATACAAGACAGACAAATGAGAATTGATTATTTTACAAAGACCCTAATTGCTCAGAAATTTGACATTCCTGCAGCGTGGCATTGCTGCTCTGGGTAGCTATCTCCGTGTCCTATCCATGGAGGTGGCAGAGTCTTCACCCTCATGTACGCTTCCCTTCTAAAGGTAACCCCTGGGTTGGTTTAGAGGCATTACCTTGGCTGGAAAATTGTGTGGATGGGGTTAGGAAGCTGTTTTGGGCTAATTGTAAGAGATGGTGAAACTTGTGAATGGAGAGCCCGTGCAGAATGAAGACAGCATCTGATGAGTGCTCTCCATCCTTGGCTGATCATTGCCGCGAATAAGGCAATGATCCAACAGGACAATTTAATGCGGTATGGATTTTCCGAGGACATTTTAACAAAAGAGCAGTTACTGATTTAGCAACCAAACGTGGCTTTATAAAGATGTATTTTCTAATGGTGAGGAAAGCTCTGGAGGGAAGGAGAGAGGAGAAGGTTGCTTGGACGGTCCTTCACTATGAAGTTGTGTTTGTAACTCAGGGCCTCCTCTCTACTCATCCTGGTCAGAGGAAAGCTGGTGGATGGAAGGAGCTCTGCAGCTGCTCCTGGAAGGGCAGAGCAGCCCACAGGGCATCACCAGACAGGCTCTCACCCCCAGTTTAATGCTGACGTGAACTCAGGGTCACCTTTCTCTGTGTTTCTGTCTTTCAGGCTAGGACTTCCTCCCCCCTTCAGCCCTGTAACATAATAAACACTGACCCGAAATGATCACTAAGCCCATTCCTCCATGGGTAAGTCATCACTGCCTGGAACAGAGCAGTCTGCACTTCCATCATCTGCTGATGGCTGCTGCAAAGTCTTTTGTTTTCTTTTATTTTTTTTCTTTGCACTGCTCACAAAATAACTAGCGTCATGAGTCATGGATCAATACCCAAACTACAAAGCACCAAGGACCATAAGAAATCCTCACTAAGGTCCAGACCTAGACTTGCTGCATCGGGGTGTGGATCCACTCAGCCTGTCCGAAGATGGTATTAATAAGCCATCCAAAAATACCTGGTGCCTTTTGCTAGAGTGTGACCGCAACAGATTGGAGACAGCTTGAAATGCAGACACCTGCAAGGTGCCTTGCTCACAACGCTGATGTGTGGGACAGCCAAGTGATGGACACGGAGCTCAGCTGAAATGGCAGGAGCGGGTTCAGCAGTGCACAGTGACATTGCATGTTGGTGTGCTGTAATTAATGCTGATAAAGTGCACTATATCCTTCAAAATTGGCTGATGACCTGTGTTTAACCACTCAGCCTCACCAGTTGTGGTTTACAGGAATGGTACATACATGCTGGCACTCTCTCTTTCTTCTCCAGTGGGGAGAGGGATGAAAGTTCGTGTTTCCCCTTTGTTAGGTCACAAAGTGTTATTTTGGGCACCTTCCAGAACCAATTCATTACTTGTCATCTTGCAGAGTGAGGGTAACGTAAGGCTCTGCCACGTGCTGTATTGATCCCTCGACTTGATTAGTTGGTGTATCGAATACCCTTGCTTTTCTAATCTAATTAATGCAAGATAAATACTCTGTGCTGGGGCCCGGAGTCACGTTCTAAGGGTAATCAGGGAGTAGGACTGATTAAAACCAGAAGGCTTCTGGGATAATTTATGGACTACTTGACACTGTTGGCAGGTTAGGCTACTTTGGAGGGCTCCGTGTGGTCTCAGCCTTGAAATTGCCTCTTTGGAGGGCTCTACATCCAGATCCATCCTCATCCCTCAGTTTGATGGCTCTGGGTTTGAGGGGGTCTGGACTCCTAGGTGAGACACCGGCTTGGGGCTCAGGATAGCTGCTTTCACTCCCCACCAGTAGTGGGGAAGACTGTGCCAGAAAAAAACATTTATTTTATGACCTTGAGAAAATCACCAAATCTCCTTTAGATTAGCTCTCATCCATAAAATGAGCCTCAAACCACTTGGCCTTATTTATTTGGTTGCGTTTTCTCTTGGGCTGGCACAGTTTGATGAAGCTATACAGCGCCAGGCACATGAGGACTTTGCTCTTGTTCAGGAACGGGTATGCAAATACAACTAGATCACTGAGATGTAGCTAAACTCCACTTTGCCACTGTTTCAGCTCAGATCTTGGTGTTTCCAGACAGATTAATGCTCTGGATCAGGAGATATAACTGGACTACGGAAGGTGATAATGCTTAGTTGATTGCATACATGAATTAATTTACTTGGTCCCACTCTGAGCTAAGTAATTCTCATGATTATGCTTGTGATGAAGATGGAAAAGAGGCAGGAAAGTTGTCTTGGCCACCTAAGGGGAATGTGTGCTGCAGACATCTCCTGAAGATGAGCTCAGCCCCAGGCACATCCAAATGTAGAGGGTTTGGAACTGGGTGGTCTCTAAAGTCCCTTCCAACCCAAACCATTCTGGGTTTCTGTGTTTTTGTGAACATCTGGGTGTGCAGTCACCTCCTGCAGCTCCCCTCCAGAAAACAGGCACGTCATGGAGGACAAGTGAGGAGTTTTAGGGTGGAAATCCAACACATTCAGTGGAGGTACCAGTCTTGAATGCTTCTGGGATCCACCAAAGAGTAGGACAAGAGTCCTGTCACCTGTAAGATGAGAAAGGTGCAGGGGGTGATGAGGTTTGGTCCAAGCTCTGCCTCCCTTGATTGCAATCTCACGGTGCTTGGGATTGAGTGAACATTTTTTTTCAGGAAATGGGGAGCAGGGGCATAGGGTCACTGATGGCAATGGCAGGGCCATTTATTCCAATTTCTTTCTTTTGCATATGAGTTTTCCCAGGTGAGAGCACAATGTACACAGCCAGGGGAAGGCAAGGGCAAGTTCAGCAGCCAGATGTAATTGCATTTTCCTCCACAATTGCCCCCGGGGCTGAGCCAAGGCCCTTCTGCGCCTGTCTCTCCCCTCACAATGCATCATAGCGAATTGGTGTAAAATCCAGTTAAAAGGCCACTCGCGGGTCTCAGCTGCTGCAACACAAATTGTGGATGAATATTTTTCCCCTCCCATATACGCCTGACGGGTTTTGTCATCCAGCACCATATGGCTGGGTCGCGTTTCTTCTCTCGGCTTGGTCGTTGGTCTCTCATCACAGCCCTGCTCCCTGCGTGTGAGCCCTCGCCGAGCAAGGCCATGGAGCAGGCTCGGTGTTTTACAGCAGTGTCATTACAGGAGGATCTCTCTTCCTTCCTAAAAGAGAGCCTGGGATTGATGGAGCGTTGGAGTGGGTAATCACAAATCCAGCTGCTCCAAGGTAGCTGAGAACGGAGATGGTGCAGGACGGGGGGAAAAGGGGAGTGGGGCCTAGAGGAGCTCTGCGGGGTACATTTATCACTCTCTTGGCAGAGAGGTGTGATTTATATGGACAGAACATAAATCCTGTTGGAGTTGTTGGAGGCTCCATATGGGCAGCTGAGCGCTTGGGCCTGCTGTGGTGCTGGAAGCTGGGCCTGCAACGGTGCTACTGCCTACCATCCCACTATCCTTCCCAGTGTTGTTTTTTATTTTTTTCTCAGTGCTTTCACTGCTAGGTACTGTTCATCTCGCCACCTCAGAGCCAGCCCCTCTCTTGTATAGTGGATCTGGCTCTTTTGGGGTGGCAGCATGGGACTGGGAAAAGCATTTCCCCTTGCTTTGCTTCCTTGGGATCTACTGGAGCTACAGCATCTACAAGAAAACCTCTGTTTCTTCTCATGTTGCCGAGGCTGAGCTATGAACCTGGAGAAGGTTCTGCTCTAGTGACTACTAAAAAAATTCACAGTCTTTACTCTGAAGAAGATGAGGCCCTGGCCCAGGCTGCCCCATCCCAGGGGGTGCCCAAGGCCAGGCTGGATGGGTCTGGGGACAGCATGGGCTGGTGGGAGGTGTCCGTGCCATGGTAGAGGTTGGGATTAGATGGGCTTTGAGGTCCCTTTCACACAGGTGGGGTGGCCCTGTCTGAACCTAGCCATTGTCACTGTGCTTGTGTCACAAACACATCCACCCATGTGGGTCTCCACCCTACCCTACCTCATGTACCCCCACGGTCACTTGTCATCGGTCTCTTCTCTCCCAGTGTCTCACTGTCCTCATGGTCATGATCTATGGGCACAGTGTTTGCTTTCAGGGATGTTTAGACTCTTTAGGTTTAAGGCATGGCTGTTGTAGAGCATAGTATTGCCTACCCAGAGGTAGAGTTGCTAGGAATAGGGGTGTTGTCACACAGGTTCATTCTGAATTACGTGCTGTACCTCCAATAATATAGCCTGCTTTCCTCCCTATATTAATTTTACTCCTAGCATTTGATGGAAAGGTTTGTCTACTTTTCCATAATCCTGAAAAAAAAAGCCAAACCACTATTCCTTTCAGTCTTCTATTTTGGAACCTGAAATAGTACATTTTCCATTATTTTTCCCCATCACTGCACGATCGCTGTTCTCTGGATTTAGGCCATTCCTTGTGCACCCCAGTTTCCACTTCCAATTTCCAACTGCAGAATCGCTATTTGGCGAGAGTCTCCAGACACGTATGTGAAGGGGCCCTAAGAACTTGGAATGAGCCTTGGAAATTAAATAATAAATGAAGACACTCCTCCCCTCCCCACACACACTACGTGTTGCTTCAGCAAACGTCGAATAAATCACAGAGCTGTGCGGTAATAAATCTTTCATGAGATTAGGGCCATCTGAACTTCAGCGATTGTGTGGGGAATGTATAAATTTCACATGCAGATATAGTGTAAAAAAAATCTTTAGATTAGTTATTAACTTTGGAAACACTTGATGAGTTTTGATTCATTAAGTGTTTCACAGTCTTGTTAATTTAATAAGTACCGATGAGGCTGTAATGTAAGACAACAATCAGTAATTTGGAGGGGGGAAATAATAAAGTAGTCATTACACAGCAGAATGTTTAATCAAAGAATGTGGAAACTTACAGTTTCACATTAATTTGAAAAGGTTGGAGATTTAAAATTAATATTAGCTCTGACACAGGGAGGCTTTCTCTACAAGCAGATAGGGCTTACATAATTGCTCAGAACAGAATTAAAATGCCTGTAATTTTAATGGCTTTACCTTCTTTAACTGGATCCCCAGGCTCCATAGGTAGAATAGAAATAGAGCTAAAGCAGTTGTGGTCCTTCAAATCCCTGAGTAAAACTCACCTGTGGAGAAGAGGCTACCTGTAGCATCAGGGTGACAAATCACAACACAATTAGGCTCCTGTTGGGGACAGCACTTAAGCACCTGCTTAAATGTAAGCAGGTACTGGAGTACCGCACTGAACGGGAATATACATAGGGAGGAGGTTAAGTACTTTATTGAATTTTGGACTTCCAAACACATTGACAATTCACAGCCTCAGCAGGGCTAAATGGGATGTTCAGGGGAAACTTGGGTATTAATTCTGAGTGCTCCTCATCCTTGTCCCATTTCTGGTTCCACCAAGCCTTACTTTTTTAGAGTTACCTTGTGTCTCCTGCAGCATCATTTCTATTCATTGGCTGTCTCCTGCCTTGTGGCTGGTCTATACCTTATTTTGGGTTAAACCTGTCAGTTTTAAGCCAGAGAAACTAAAAAAAAAAAGTTTCTGCAGAACTCTTCCTGTTGATCCCCCAGTAATTCTTGGATTCATTCCCAACTGTCAGTAAAACACATCAGAAGTGACCTCATATATGGGTGTTGCGATGGCTGATGTTGGGCAATGTTCTTTGCTTGGGAGAAGATTAAAAAAATCTCATTCTGGAAGAGATGTGGAGACTAACCTCAGGTGTTGGAAACCCGCCTGCAGATCTGCTTGCAAATGGCGTGTTTGCTCAGCGTATAGCAAATACGCCCCAATACCCAATAGAAATTGTTAAATATTTGGCGTTGTTCCATAACCGGGTGTAAGAAAGGCCATATGCAGATAGAGATGTCAAATAGATGAGAAGAACGAATCCACCAGTCTTCAGCTTTGTTCTTCACCAATTTCAGTCCTCTAACTTGGTAGTGTTAAGTCCGATAATTTAGTAGTGTTAAGATGGTATCTCAAAAGCCATCATGACACCTTCATTGGGCAAGTATGTGTTTACAGGAATTGTGGTGGCATTTCTGAAGCAGTAGGGATGTGAGGAAGTCATGTTTTGCTTTGACAACACGGGATTAGCATATCTCAGCTGAAGTTCTTGGATACTTCTTCTAGAATCTGAGCTTAACAATATATAGAGAAAACACCAGTCATTCGTTAGTCCATCGTGCATTATTCTCTGAGCTTGGAGCTGTGTAAGAAATTTGGGAGTTTGGGCAGTGATCAACAAATCTCAGGCTTTGGTATTCTTCTGATGTCCTATGCTTGAATGGAGAGAGCTGTTAGGAAACTGAGACTTAGCAAGTGAGATTCAACCCACCTATGTCTACCATGGGTAAATCTCCATCTGACTTGTCAGTTGAGATCCAACTGATAGAGTCATTCTTATACCATGATGTATCTCATGAGGTGTTTATACCGGGAAAGCCAGCTGTGATCCAGCTTGGAGACCACCATCAGCAAGCTCAAAAAGTGGCCTAATTAGGTGAATTTCAGGCCTTCATGGGCATTCTCTTTGCTGCTATGCATGTCCTTTGTGACTCCTGAATAAGGAAAGGAGCTAGCT